CACACCACCACACCACTGAATTTCTCTACAAAACAATACAAAACAAAGAGAGAGAGGCTTGCATTACATAATGTCACATAACAAAATATAAAAATAAAAATAGGCTCCCTAATGGTATTATAAATCAAGTTAAAATTATAATCTCTAGGGAAATTAATTTTCTGGGTAATTTACTATGTAGCTTCCAGGTCGCTTCCTTTCTGGGGGCAAAATTGTCAAATGCACATATCTAGGCCTATAAATTCCCCCAACCATCACTCCATTAATCACACCACAACCTCTAGTCTTCATCCTATTTCTATCATTAATTGCAGTGTCTTTCTCTGCTATGCATTATTCTGGGGAAAAAGGTTAATATAAGCACTTTCCAAACCCAGCACTCAACAACTCCTTGAGCCTTCCTCAATTAGTCATATACGTACGGTGAGTCCAATATTCCTGCCAAAAGTACCACTAATCCATGAGCAAACACCATTTGCTTAGTTTATTTTGTCCCTGCATCATGCAGGATCTGACATTGGAGAGACTATTTGCTTAATCTTTTTTGAACTTTTTTTTTTTGGTCTGACCATTTGTCTAATTTTGTAGTTGCACCAAGAAACATGTTCCTAGACCCAAAAACAGATGATCAAGCTTCCGAAGGTGTCTGCAGCAGCACTTCATCTGTTACTGCTGGCTTGCTCATTCAAACCATCAACACTTCTGGCCAATACGTGCTGCGCAAGAGATGGCTTAGATATATTGCTCTAGGCGTTTTCATCTCCTCACGCAGTAAGAAAACCAGATTGCCCCTTGAAGCCCCTAGCTATGAACCTTTAGAAGCACCAGCACCACCGGCCCCTGCCCCTGAGCATGCGATTGACATCCCTCTTCAGGACCCGTTTCTGAACAAGGTTGCTGGCATTGTGAGAGAGAAGGACTTAAATGCACTGCGAGGACTTGGTGGTGTTGATGGCATTTTGCGAGATGTAGCAACCAAATAAGTAGAGAAAAAAAATATTTTTATAATCTTATGCACTTGATAGAGAATGATTGAGAATGATTGAAGTTAACTTTGTTAAGTTAATCATATTCGTTCTTTATATGACAGGATGATGCTGTTGATGGTGGTCAAAATCCACAAGGATGGAACACGACCAAGTCCCCAGTTGATGCAAAAAGCTTCTCATACTTCTTGTTGAAGGCTTGCAATCCATATACAGTTTTTTTCCTCTTACTCTCAGCAGGGTTTTCGTTTGCCATTGAATTCATGATGCAAGGAGTCAAACAAGGGTGGCACGACGGTGTTGCCATACTCTTTACGGTGTTCTTACTTGTTGCTTTCCCTTCAGTGGGGAACTACCTCCATGAGAGAAAGCTGGTGAGGAAGCACCTGCTGGACAGGAGCAGATTGATGGTGAATGTTGAAAGGAGTAACGGAGAACCTACATCAGTTAACATATCTTGTGTTGTGGTGGGCGATATAGTTCATTTGAAGGAAGGAGACCGTGTCCCTGCCGATGGTTTGTTCATAGATCATGGCGAGGACTTGATGTTGGATGAGGTATTGAACCCCAAAATTGATTGTGACCAAAACCCGTTTGTGTTGTCTGGTTCAAAGGTTATTAAGGGCCATGGTCGCATGGTTGTGACATGTATTGGTGCCAGTACAGCTTTTGCAGAGATGCTCAGCTTGGGGACTCATCGTAATCCAAACGAAAAGACACTGTTACAAGATTTGATGGACAAGCCAAATGCTTGTATGGATTATCTTGCGGTTTGTGTCTCTCTACTGATTGCTCTCGTGGTGCTAATACGGCTATTATTCTTCAGGAAGCATGACAATTACAATGACAGGACAGAACTGAAAGGGGAAGTTTCAATGAACTTTGTAATGAGGATCTTTGAGAAAATTTTCTTGAAACCTCAAGGACGGGTTTCCACTTTAGCAGGTGTTCTCGCAACCGCGGTGATAGGGATACAACATGGAATGCCTTTTGCGATTACAGTTGCCCTTTGTCAATGGAAGGAGAAGGTGGTCCAAAATCAGGCAAAGCCTCAGAATCTATCAGCTTGTGTCACCATGGGACTAATAACAGTCATCTGCATAGAAACAACTGGTGAGCTAATGTGTAGCCAGGGCGAGGTTAAGGAATTTTGGTTGGGTGGAAAGGATTTGTGCAGTGATGAAGTGGACTCTGAAGCTGATCAAGTTGTTCTTGAAACACTGCATCAGGGGATTTCTGCTACCCCATCCCCAACAAATGATTTGCTCATTTCTTGGCTGAAGACCAGATGGGGTGCTAACATGGGGTTATTGAATGAAACATGTAATACTGTTGAGCAGTTGAGCTCTGATGAGAAATGCAGTGGGATTTCAGTGAGGAAAACTGTGAATAATGAACAAATTCTGCAGTTGCACTGCAATGGGGATGCATCAACAATATTACATAAGTGTTCACATTACAATGATAACAGAGGGGAAAGTCACACTATGAAAGACCAGAACAGAAGATTTAAGCAGGTGATTAATAAAATGGAGGAGAATGGTCTTAGGCCCATTGCATATGCTTACAAGAAAACAGAAGTCCAAGAACCTACAGAAGATGGGTTGATTTTGTTGGCAATCGTGGGTGTTAGACGCCCATATCAAGAAGAGCTTAAATTGGCAGTGGAAGCTCTTAAAAGGGTTGGAGTAAGCATCAAATTGGTGTCAGAGGATGAGCTCTCAACAGTGAGAGCCAGGGCTTCACAACTTGGAATCTCCCCTGGTTCAAATGATATGGAGATTGAAGGAGAAGTTTTCCGAAGACTGGATTCCATGGAAAGGCAGGATAAGATGGATATGATCTCTTTGATGGGAAGGTCCCTCCCTAAGGACAAGTTTCTCATGGTGGATCGCTTAAGGAAAAAAGGTCACATAGTTGCATTCTATGGAGGGTTGACCATAAGCGACACTCTGACCTTAAAAGAATCTGATGTAGGAATCATAGATGATATCCGGAGCACAGAAATGGCTAGAGAGAATGCTGATCTTATAGTTAGAAATGTCTGTTTACTGGCCCCTATTTGGAAGTCTGGTGCATGTGCTTACCACAACATTCAGCAATTCTCTCAACTTCACCTCACTGCTTGCATATCCGGGCTACTGATAACCTTAGTGGCAACAATGCATTCCGGAGAGTCCCCATTATCCGCAATTCACTTGATTTGGGTGAACTTGATTATGTGCCTTCTTGGTGGCCTCATGATGGTGATGGAGTTACAAGGCCCGGAACTACTCACTCAAAGACCTGCAAAGAGGACTGAGTCACTTATAACCAAAGTCATTTGGAGAAACATAGCAATTCAAGTTTCATCTCAGGCTTCTGTCTTGCTGATCTTACATTTCATGGGAAATGCAGTACCAGGCATGGATCAAGGCGTCCGGAATACGATGATTTTCAATACTTTCACATTGTGCCAGGTCCTTAATCTGTTGAATGCCATGCACTTGGTGAAGAAGGAAATGCTACTAGTTGTCCTCCACAACTATTGGTTTCTGATGGCTTTGGGGGCTGTTTTGATCATGCAGGTGATGATTGTTGAGTTTGGAAAAGGGCTAGTGAGTGGTGTGAGGTTGAATGCACTGCAGTGGTTGATCTGTTTCCTTCTTGCTGCTCTTTCATGGGGGTTTGAGCAGTACCAGGCATGGATCAAGGCGTCCGGAATACGATGATTTTCAATACTTTCACATTGTGCCAGGTCCTTAATCTGTTGAATGCCATGCACTTGGTGAAGAGGGAAATGCTACTAGTTGTCCTCCACAACTATTGGTTTCTGATGGCTTTGGGGGCTGTTTTGATCATGCAGGTGATGATTGTTGAGTTTGGAAAAGGGCTAGTGAGTGGTGTGAGGTTGAATGCACTGCAGTGGTTGATCTGTTTCCTTCTTGCTGCTCTTTCATGGGGGTTTGATTGGACCTTTAAATTGCTTTCAGATAGCATCGAAAGAACAACTTCGGCATTGATGGTGAATTCACATGTGGGGTTCTCAAATAGGAGGCGCAGATTATACATATCTATTTGGTTGTTCCTGATGTTCTCCATATCGTCATATTGTTTTCACCCAGTTTCTAAGCTCGCTAGCACATATATCAGTTAAATTGGAAGTCTCCCACGGAAGTGTTAACAAAGTTAATAAACCATGTAGTCATCTTGTGGTCTGTCTGTGTTCCTAAGTGTTCTGCACAATGCCATCTGTAAAATGTGAATAAGTTATTCTCCTGTCTTTTTACTATGAGCCTTCGAGACAATAGACCCGAATGCTAATAGATATTACATTGTAGTTGATCATAGACAATGTAGGTGAGCTTATGTTATTTACTCTTAGGGACATTCTCCAATAAGTATTTAAGTTAAGGATTGACTACATACTTTTAATCTCAGCCGTTGGATTGCATCTAAGAGAATACTAACACATTTAATGAATGCAATCCAACGGCCGAGCTTAGAAGTATGTAACCAATCCTTAACTTAAAATACTTTTTGGAGAATCTCCCTTTACTCTTCTTCCACTGCAAACCATTTCTGCCCTGCTATGGTTTGCTGTTGTTTTGTCAATACTGCGGCAAATTAACCTTTTCACAGCAGCCAAGGAACAGTTCGAATTTTAGAGGTTGGCGTTTTTTACCTCAAGCCTACAAAAACAGCCAAGGAAAGTTTATGCTTTCATGATTTCATCAGTGGGGGCCTATTAAATATTTGTCTTTTGGTTGGAGCTGGCATGAGCTTTTACAGTACAACTAAACTTGTGGCCTGCGTTCACCAACCACAAATATTGCACCAATTTGCCTGCCACATGGCTAAGAGATAACCTGTCTCTCACTAGAACAATCAGTTTGGAAATCTAAAGATTCTGAAGCGCATTGAGGCTGATTTAAAGATTCTGAAGTTGCAGGTCTGTTGTGTTTTAAAACAAATTTAATTGCCATTTTTGTTTTTAGTTGAGGGGTCTTCCTGATTATTTTTCCCTTTTAAGCGCTTTCATTATTTGGGTATCAGAATTGGCAAATCAGTCTTGTATTATCATTCCTTCATTGAAAATAAAAAAAGAGAAAGTAAGGATTCTGCTTTTTATGATTGGGTTTGGGTTAACAGGAACAATTCATGTGCCATGTCTGTTGCCCCTTCCTCCTTTCCACCCTTCATATTCCACGGTTGGTGGCAGTTCCATGAAAATTTTCTTTCAGTCATTGCACTTGCGTGATTAGAACCCAAATTCTCAATGGTGATGGTGCATTTTTAGTCATTTGTATTAAATTAAGGTTGTGCCTTGTTCTTCATATGTCCTTATTGAACAAGGCATATATAACAGAATTTTTCATCCCTCCCACTCTAATTATTAAGGCGGAAAGTAATTTATTTTATTTTCAAAGATAGGACTTTTGGAAATCAGAAGTAGTGATCAAGCAAAGCCTTGAATTATGATTTATTTTTTAACTCTTGAATATGATGAATCTCTTTCAACTATGTCCATTCACTGTCAGTCTTCACCTGATACATCATCTGTTGCAGGAAGAAATAATAAACCTCCTTCCTGATGATGAAACAAAGCAAAGCCTTGACACAAAGCTACTTCATCCAGAAGATCTTATCAAGCTGTGCCTTGAAGGTGAAAAAAGTGCAGAGCTGTCACTGCGAGCTTTTGATGTATTTGCATGGACCAGCTCCTCCTTCCGTAAGACCCATGCAAACCTTTTAGAGGATTGCTGGAGAAATGCTGCTGATCAAGATGATTGGAGCAAACTCTATCAGGCATCGGTATCTGAAGGGTGGGGTGATGAGGAAACCTTGCAGAACTTGAAAGACACAGTGCTTTTCCAGGCATCAAATAGATGTTATGGACCAGAAGCTGAAACTTTTGGAGAAGGGTTCGACGAAGTGTTGTCACTGAGACAAGAAATCACGGAGCCTCCAATCATGAAGGATTCGGTTTCTTCTGTGGAAGCAGTACTCATGCAGCATACAGATTATTCAGAGGCCGGGAAGCTGATGCTGACCTCAATCATGTTGGGTAGTTTACAGGACGATAACATAGAACAAGAAGGTCCTGTGCCAATGGAATGACAGTCAGATTAGTATGATTCATGGTGATGAGTTCCTGGATGTGTCATTGTGTTTTTTTTGTTGATACACTGAGATTCGTAGTGTACTAGTCGACAAGTTCCAGCTAAATTTTCTCTTTTTCTTTTTCTTTTCCCTTGTGAAATTCTCCAACCAACTTTATACGAACATTTGTCAGTCTACTCTGATCTCTGATGCTTTACTGGTTGTCAGTTGTAAGAATTTTCTAAGAAGGCAGCAAGTTTTCTTTCTATAACTATATATGAACATGGGAATTGAACCTGGGATTGGAATCCGCGGTAATTCATGCAATTAGTTGCATTATCGGAAATTTCTGTCAAATTTAAGGATGCCTTTATTAGTTTTTAGGGAAAACAAAGCGTGACAAAATCAGACCAATATTGAAGAAATAAGAAGGAAAAAAGAGTGAAGTTTCAGCGTTTCTTTCTTGGCCGCGTTGCCTTCCATTACCTCGAAAATACATCTACATTTCAAGAAAAAGAGACTTATTTTCTTGTGGAAAAATGCATAATGAATTTACCGGGAAATACTTCTGGTTTTGTTGATGAATTGCGTTAAAGTAGAATGCTTTTCTTCTTCTTCTTCTTCTTCCCAATATTGCCAACTACTTTTGCATTCTATTAAAGCTTCTTATTTTTGGTCAAAAACTACTGCGGCAGGCAAGCCCATGTGAAGAAGAAGAGGGTCCCCTGCAAATGGAGCGACAGTCGGGGTTAGTATTGAATCATGATGTTGAGTTCTTGAATCGAATCTCTTTCTTGCTACTTTTATAATTAATAAAATCTTCAAAAATGCATACATGAGTTTAGCCAAGTTGGCTAGCGGATGTGCTTCCCACTCTACACCGAGTTCGAATTCCCCCTTTAGGTGTATATCAGTATAAAGTAGATTATCGCTTGTATATATTTAAAAAAATTCAAAAAAAAAAATTTCTTCAAGTAATTGATCATTTTTTCCCCTTTTTTGTTCTTCCCATATAAAATTGCTCTATAAGGAAATATTTGTCAGTCTATTATATGATGCTTTACTCGTTATCAGTTACTGAGCGATTATATATTTTGAAGTGGATATTTTAGGTTATTCTTACATAAAAATTATCCAAATTCAGAATTGTTTGGTTATCCTTAAATGTGAAGAAAAATGTTGTTCGATAAATAAAATTGAAAAGAAAATGTGGATAATCAAATAACTAAATAATTTCCGATTCAGCTATTTTTTGTGTGTTAGGTAATTCTTGAAAGAGAACTTCAAAATCGAACTGTTTCGATGCTCGATTTACAGCTACCGATTCAGCTATTTTTTGTGTGTTAGGTAATTCTTGAAAGAGAACTTCAAAATCGAACTGTTTCGATGCTCGATTTACAGCCCATAACTAGGGTTTCCTTGTTTCTTATAGAAATTGCCCTTGAAAGTATTCAGCTCTATATACGGTTACTGTTTAATACCAATATCCAAACTGTTGTTATTTATACTCATTTCATTTATAGAATATCCAAAGTCGTGCCTCTAATACAAAATCATTTTTCCTAGGGTTGGTGCTGAATATATTGGTTTGGAATTTTTAAAGAGGTTTATTGAACAAGACGACCCCAAAACGAAATTAAAAACACTAATCTATTTGTTAGTGGTTACTAAGACGAATTAAGTAAAATAATGAATATTCGTTAATATACTAGACAAGACAAGCAAGTCGAATACTTTGTCCTACAAACCAAAGCAAAGACTTGTGTAGATTTTTTTATGTTTGGAGACTTTTACATTCTCTCTATTTTTTTTTATTCCGACACACAACCTGCCTGCTACTATGCATGAATAAATATCATTTGAGTACAAAAAGGCCTCATTGCACTTCTTACACCAAATACCAAATACATTTCTTGCTCGTTTGAGAATACTTTTTTTAGGAAGCACTTTTATTTATTAGCGCTTTTATTATAAAATGTTAAAAAATTTATAAAAAATTATAGTGCTTCCTAGAAAAGCATTTTGGAGTGATTCATGAAGAAGCTCATAGCAAATGCTTCTCCATAAAGTGCTTTTATGACTGCTTCTAAATTATTTTTTATCAAACGTTATTGTTGTCACAAAAAATATGTCGTTTTAAATTTATAAATACTCGCAAGCACACGAATCGGATATTGTATAGACGTGTAAGAATGAGGTCGTACTGAAAAATATAGAAAACTAATTAAACCCAAGTTAATTAAATTGCCAACCTAGTTGAATCAAATGGTGATTTGTTTGTTGATAAAGAAAATTAAATAAAGCAAAAAAAAAAAAGGAAATGAAAATAAATGAAAATAGAGATAAATTAATGAGAAAAGTGACTAAGGTATTATAATCCACACCACTATTTCATAAAACTCTAATTATTTACCTGTTAATTTCCATGAAGTAGCAATCTAGAAGTCAACCTGTTGCTTTCTCAACATATATCATTTAAACCCTTTAATGATATGTTGAGAAAGCAATATGTTGACTTCTAGATTGCTACAAATTCTAAGCATCACATGTAAACAAAATTTATTTAACTACAAAGTATCAAAGTTTCCTAAGCACCCTATGTGAAAAGGGTTATTTGAATGACAAGAGATCAAAGAAATTTGTATACTAAAAATAAAAATCCAAGGATGTATTAATAAATCGAAGTGGTAATAGAAGTGGTGAAAAGAAAGTTAATCTACTAATCATGTGAAGTGAAAATTATAAACATTGAATAATATAATTTGGAAACTAGAAGATAAAAACTAGAACTTCATTTTATAATGATGTTTCATTATTAACAAAATTTAACTAGACATAAATAAAATAACAAAATAATTACAAGATAAAAACTAAAGTGGAAATGAAAAAGGAAAAATTGCATCATTAACCCCTTGGATCCTTGCATGTCGACTCCCCAAGGTTCTCTTCAATTCTATTGCATTTTCTCTCCTCTTTCTTTCTCTCTCTTTTTCCTTCTCCTTGCTGTGTATCTCTTGGTACCTCACATCTTTGCTCCAAGCTTTTATTTATAGTCAAAGTTTGGGAGCTTAAATCATAGAATAATCAAGTTTGTAGCCCATCATTCCAAAATAACTTTCCATTTCTTTTGGCCTTGGTGAGACACTTCTCAATTCTATCTCTAGGAATTTCATCTTTTACTTTACTTTGGCACTCCATCATTCTTTTTTCTTGCTTTATCACACGCTTGTAGTCAATTTGATTCTCTTTCTCTTTGGTTTTGGCTGCAAACACCAATTATTCTTTTATTATGATAAAGCAAGCACAAAGAAGTCTTTTAAAGATTAATAACAATCGAAGGATGAGGCTCCATTATTATTAAGATAGAGAAGGGAGCTTACGTGATGCAATTTTCCATTGATATAATGACTTTAAACTCAATAACATGCTACCCCCACTCTATTAATATAATGTACAATGATAATTACAACTTTTATTCTCTGCTTTTGTAAGAAAGAAATAAAATGATACTAATTAAATCTCACACTAATTAAAATAAAGACTAGCAATTATGTTTATAGTAATAATAAATGGTGTTAAAATATGTCTATCAATTGTCAAAAGGACATTTTCAGAAATACTCCTAAACAGACCCTTGATTTTCTTCAAAATTCAAGAGAGAATAAGAATTATGGTCTTATATATGCACATTACAATAGAACATCAAATCAAATTTTCAGCATGAAACACAATGTGGCAATAATGTCGACCATTGTCCCAGTGTAGTTTTCTTTTTGGTTTTTTCTTGGGCTTTGGCCCTCCTTGTAACCGAAAATAAAATAAAAATAAAATGTCAACCACACTTTTTTTTATAGAAAAAATATTTTATTTTCTCTCTTTTGAGTGCATAGACTCAAGAGTCTTCTCTGTGCCAATTTTCCACCCTTACCGCGTGCCCAACGCGTATAGTGACGACGCCACACCACCACTCCCTCCCTCCCAGAAGAATTTTTCACTACAAAACAATACAAAACAAAGAGGAAGAGGCTTACATTACATTATGTCACAAAACAAAATATGAAAATAAAAATAAGCTCCCTATTGCACGTCAAATTTAATTTATAATCTCCGGGGAAATTAATTTTCTGGGTAATTTACAACGTGTAGTTTCCAGGTCGCTTCCTTTCTGGGGGCAAAATTGTAAATGCAACATATCTGAAGCCTTATAAATTCCCTCAATCATCACTCAATTATTCACACCTCAAGCTCAAGTCCTCATCCTATTTCTATCATTAACTGCAGTGTCTTTCTTGACACTATTCAATAAATCCCATGTTTGGTTTTCTCTGCTATGCATTAATCTGGGGAAAAAGGTTAATGTAAGCACTTTCCAAACCCAGCACTCACCAACTCCCTTTTCCGTGAATCAAATGGGGCCTAATATTTCATTTTAGTCGCACAGATTTCTTTGTGAGCTAATTTAAGCACTTTCCAAACCCAGTACTCAACAAGTCCTTGAGCCTTCCTCATTTAGTCATATACGGTGAGTCCAATATTCCATGCCAAAAGTACCACTATATCCATGAGACTATTTGCTTAATCTTTTTTGAACCATTTTTTTTTGTCTGACCATTTGTCTAATTTTGTAGTTGCACCAAGAAACATGTTCCTAGACCCAAAAACAGATGATCAAGCTTCCGAAGGTGTCTGCAGCAGCACTTCATCTGTTACTGCTGGCTTGCTCATTCAAACCATCAACACTTCTGGCCAATACGTGCTGCGCAAGAGATGGCTTAGATATATTGCTCTAGGCGTTTTCATCTCCTCACGCAGTAAGAAAACCAGATTGCCCCATGAAGCCCCTAGCTATGAACCTTTAGAAGCACCGGCACCACCGGCCCCCGCCTCTGAGCATGCTATTGACATCCCTCTTCAGGACCGGTTTCTGAACAAGGTTGCTCTCATTGTGAGAGAGAAGAACTTAAATGCACTGAGAGGACTTGGTGGTGTTGCTGGCATTTTGCCACTTCTCAGGTCTCACTTTGAGGTAGCAACCAAATAAGTAGAGAAAAAAAATATTTTTATAATCTTATGCACTTGATAGAGAATGATTGAGAATGATTGAAGTTAACTTTGTTAAGTTAATCATATTCGTTCTTTATATGACAGGATGATGCTGTTGATGGTGGTCAAAATCCACAAGGATGGAACACGACCAAGTCCCCAGTTGATGCAAAAAGCTTCTCATACTTCTTGTTGAAGGCTTGCAATCAATATACAATTTTTTTCCTCTTACTCTCAGCAGGGTTTTCGTTTGCCATTGAATTCATGACGCAAGGAGTCAAACAAGGGTGGCACGACGGTGTTGCCATACTCTTTACGGTGTTCTTACTTGTTGCTTTCCCTTCAGTGGGGAACTACCACCATGAGAGAAAGCTGGTGAGGAAGCACCTGCTGGACAGGAGCAGATTGATGGTGAATGTTGAAAGGAGTAACAGAGAACCTACATCAGTTAACATAACTTGTGTTGTGGTGGGCGATATAGTTCATTTGAAGGAAGGAGACCGTGTCCCTGCCGATGGTTTGTTCATAGATCATGATGAGGACTTGATGTTGGATGAGGTATTGAATCCCAAAATTGATTGTGAACAAAACCCGTTTGTGTTGTCTGGTTCAAAGGTTATTAAGGGACATGGTCGCATGGTTGTGACATGTATTGGTGCCAACACAGTTTTTGCTGAGATGCACAGCTTGGGGACTCATCATAATCCAAACGAAAAGACGCTGTTACAAGATTTGTTGGACAAGCCATTTGCTTGTATGGATTATCTTGCGGTTTGTGTCTCTCTACTGATTGCTCTCGTGGTGCTAATACGGCTATTATTCTTCAGGAAGCATGACAATTACAATGACAGGCCAGAACTGAAAGGGGAAGTTTCAATGAACTTGGTAATGAGGATCTTTGAGAAAATTTTCTTGAAACCTCAAGGACGGGTTTCCACTTTAGCAGGTGTTCTCGCAACCGCAGTGATAGGGATACAACATGGAATGCCTTTTGCGATTACAGTTGCCCTTTGTCAATGGAAGGAGAAGGTGGTCCAAAATCAGGCAAAGCCTCAGAATCTATCAGCTTGTGTCACCATGGGACTAATAACAGTCATCTGCATAGAAACAACTGGTGAGCTAATGTGTAGCCAGGGCGAGGTTAAGGAATTTTGGTTGGGTGGAAAGGATTTGTGCAGTGATGAAGTGGACTCTGAAGCTGATCAAGTTGTTCTTGAAACACTGCATCAGGGGATTTCTGCTACCCCATCCCCAACAAATGATTTGCTCATTTCTTGGCTGAAGACCAGATGGGGTGCTAACATGGGGTTATTGAATGAAACATGTAATACTGTTGAGCAGTTGAGCTCTGATGAGAAATGCAGTGGGATTTCAGTGAGGAAAACTGTGAATAATGAACAAATTCTGCAGTTGCACTGCAATGGGGATGCATCAACAATATTACATAAGTGTTCACATTACAATGATAACAGAGGGGAAAGTCACACTATGAAAGACCAGAACAGAAGATTTAAGCAGGTGATTAATAAAATGGAGGAGAATGGTCTTAGGCCCATTGCATATGCTTACAAGAAAACAGAAGTCCAAGAACCTACAGAAGATGGGTTGATTTTGTTGGCAATCGTGGGTGTTAGACGCCCATATCAAGAAGAGCTTAAATTGGCAGTGGAAGCTCTTAAAAGGGTTGGAGTAAGCATCAAATTGGTGTCAGAGGATGAGCTCTCAACAGTGAGAGCCAGGGCTTCACAACTTGGAATCTCCCCTGGTTCAAATGATATGGAGATTGAAGGAGAAGTTTTCCGAAGACTGGATTCCATGGAAAGGCAGGATAAGATGGATATGATCTCTTTGATGGGAAGGTCCCTCCCTAAGGACAAGTTTCTCATGGTGGATCGCTTAAGGAAAAAAGGTCACATAGTTGCATTCTGTGGAGGGTTGACCATAAGCGACACTCTGACCTTAAAAGAAGCTGATGTAGGAATCATAGATGATATCCGGAGCACAGAAATGGCTAGAGAGAATGCTGATCTTATAGTTAGAAATGTCTGTTTACTAGCCCCTATTTGGAAGTCTGGTGCATGTGCTTACCACAACATTCAGCAATTCTCTCAACTTCACCTCACTGCTTGCATATCCGGGCTACTGATAACCTTAGTGGCAACAATGCATTCCGGAGAGTCCCCATTATCCGCAATTCACTTGATTTGGGTGAACTTGATTATGTGCCTTCTTGGTGGCCTCATGATGGTGATGGAGTTACAAGGCCCGGAACTACTCACTCAAAGACCTGCAAAGAGGACTGAGTCACTTATAACCAAAGTCATTTGGAGAAACATAGCAATTCAAGTTTCATCTCAGGCTTCTGTCTTGCTGATCTTACATTTCATGGGAAATGCAGTACCAGGCATGGATCAAGGCGTCCGGAATACGATGATTTTCAATACTTTCACATTGTGCCAGGTCCTTAATCTGTTGAGTGCCATGCACTTGGCGAAGAAGGAAATGCTAGTTGTTGTCCTCCACAACTATTGGTTTCTGATGGCTTTGGGGGCTGTTTTGATCATGCAGGTGATGATTGTTGAGTTTGGAAAAGGGCTAGTGAGTGGTGTGAGGTTGAATGCACTGCATTGGTTGATCTGTTTCCTTCTTGCTGCTCTTTCATGGGGGTTTGCTTGGACCTTTAAATTGCTTTCAGATAGCATCGAAAGAACAACTTCGGCATTGATGGTGAATTCACATGTGGGGTTCTCAAATAGGAGGCGCAGATTATACATATCTATTTGGTTGTTCCTAATGTTCTCCATATCGTCATATTGTTTTCACCCAGTTTCTAAGCTCGCTAGCACATATATCAGTTAAATTGGAAGTCTCCTATGGAAGTGTTAACAAAGTTAATAAACCATGTAGTTATCTTGTGGTCTGTCTGTGTTCCTATTTGTTCTGCACAATGCCATCTCTAAAATGTGAATAAGTTACTCTCCTGTCTTTTTACTATGAGCCTTCGAGACAATAGACCAGAATGCTAATAGATATTACATTGTAGTTGATCATAGACAATGTAGGTGAGCTTATGTTATTTACTCTTTGGGACATTCTCCAATAAGTATTTAAGTTAAGGATTGGCTACATACTTCTAATCTCGGTCATTGGATTGCATTTAAGAGAATACCAACACATTTAATAAATGAAATCCAATGGCCGAGATTAGAAGTATGTAACCAATCCTTAACTTGAAATACTTTTTGGAGAATCTCCCTTTACTCTTCTTCCACTGCAAACCATTTCTGCCCTGCTATGGTTTGCTGTTGTTTTGTCAATACTGCGGCAAATTAACCTTTTCACAGCAGCCAAGGAACAGTTCGAATTTTAGAGGTTGGCGTTTTTTACTTCGAGCCTACGAAAACACCCAAGGAAAGTTTATGCTTTCATGATTTCATCAGTGGGGGCCTATTAAATATTTGTCTTTTGGTTGGAGCTGGCATGAGCTTCTACAGTACAACTAAACTTGTGGCCTGCGTTCACCAACCACAAATATTGCACCCATTTGCCTGCCACATGGCTAAGAGATAACCTCTCTCTCACTAGAACAATCAGTTTGGAAATCTAAATCCAATTGAGAACCAATAGAATGTTGCTGATGTGTAGATATCCTAATCCACAACATCTTCACATTCCCGTTATAACATCCCAGCTCTCTCCTTGTCCAAGGCATCTCATTAGGCCTCACAACACCACCCCACTTCGAACAGGAGAGCATAGTCATGGCAACCTCTGCAATCCAACAATCAGCATTTGCTGGCCAGACTGCTTTGAAGCAGTCAAATGAGCTCATCCGAAAGATTGGTGGCCTTGGTGGCGGCCGCATCACCATGAGGCGCACCGTCAAAAGTACCCCCCAAAGCATATGGTAAGTTCCTTGGCTGTAGCCTGTGAGCATAAGATATTTTTTTCCAAGCAACTCTACTAAAACTTCCATGTGTATAGATATGGTCACTGATACATATTACGCTATTGGAGTAAATTAAAGTATCTAGTAGTATTGAGAGTCATGGATTCAACGTAAAATTCAAATCAAAATGATGTTTAGATTACAATGACAGAATCTCTAACAATCTATTCTACCTCAATGCACAAAGTTACAATGTTACAAGACCAACATGCTCAACATAGCATTAGGAAGTTTACACCATACCCATACCTTTTAAAGCTAAGGCCTTGAGCTTATTATGCTAACACTCTTCACTGTAATTGACAAAACAGGTATGGCCCAGACCGCCCAAAATACTTGGGACCATTCTCTGAGCAAACTCCATCATACTTGACTGGTGAATTCCCTGGTGACTACGGATGGGACACTGCTGGACTATCCGCAGACCCTGAGACATTTGCCAAAAACCGTGAGCTTGAGGTGATCCACAGCCGATGGGCCATGCTTGGTGCACTGGGATGTGTCTTCCCAGAAATCCTGTCAAAGAATGGTGTCAAGTTCGGCGAGGCTGTTTGGTTCAAGGCTGGATCTCAAATCTTCTCCGAGGGTGGCCTTGACTATCTTGGCAACCCAAACCTTGTCCATGCCCAGAGCATCTTGGCAATCTGGGCTGTCCAGGTTGTGCTAATGGGATTTGTCGAAGGATACAGGATTGGTGGAGGACCACTTGGTGAAGGACTGGATCCACTTTACCCTGGAGGGGCCTTTGACCCACTTGGACTGGCTGATGATCCTGAGGCGTTTGCTGAACTGAAGGTGAAAGAGCTTAAGAATGGGCGGCTGGCAATGACTTCAATGTTTGGATTCTTTGTTCAGGCTATTGTAACTGGAAAGGGCCCAGTTGAGAACCTCTATGACCATGTTGCTGATCCAGTTGCCAACAATGCATGGGCTTATGCCACCAACTTTGTCCCTGGAAAATGAAGAAACCTAAATGCATGGCTGTTCATCTGTAACATTACCCGAACTTCTTGCCTTTGTTGAGGTTCTCTTGTTGAGGACTCCATTAGTTCTGATGTAATCTTACTAGAAACTGCTTGTATTGAAATCACTTATCCAGTAAAACCGCCCAGCTCCTTTGTGCTTGAACTTCTTATTTGTCTAGATGTGCTGAACATTCAAAAGTTCCAGTCAACAAATGCATGCTTTGCTGCAATATAGTAAATCTAAACCAGAGAATAATATATAACAACCAAAATACAAGGGAAAATAAAAATTAAAACCAAATCATATGATTATCAGATTCATCTTAGGTTTCTTCATCTATTCCTCTCCATTAGGCAAATTAAGTTTAACCAGCGCATACAGAGAATGTGTGAAAGATTTCTGCAAACTTTTACCCACTGAACACTGGCTATCATCTCTAATTTTAATATCAGCATAATGAAGACTGCCTATGCTATTAGTATTATGAACAAATAGTATATGGATTTGGCCAATGCAGGGTGAAAGGAATGATGGGAAGAGCTATCATCTCTTACTATAATCTCAGTATAATGAAGACTGCCCATATAGCTAAGGGCAGCCACCTTCCTGTTGCAAGAAAGGCTGTTCTGGGCTCTGGGCAAGCCATACTGGTATCGTGTTGATATGGATGTCAACATGTTTGTCATACGGATGGTGATATGTTATTTATATGGATGTTGATATGTTGTCAGTGTGGATGTCGATATGTTGTCGAGTATCCCGCTCCAGCTACAGTGGAGTGGGATATATGTATATAATATTACACAATAAGTGCCCACAAAGAGAATGTACAAAACAAAGAGAATCAGAGCACAATGAGAATGTATGAAACAACAAATTTGGAAAATTTTCAGGAAACAAACTTTTGCCAACTGAAACTTTTCACATGATGGGAGGAGCTATTATCTTTCAGTATAATGAACAATTCTTGTAGGGGTAACCAGTATACAACGAAGATTGCCTCCAATACTAAGGGCACCTAGTGTACAAGCCTTCTGCCAATGCAGGGTGAAAGAAGCGATGGGAATGACTATTATATCCACTGTCAGTATAAATTCAGACTCTCTGTATAAGATAGCCTATCTTGCACTAGTCTCTGGCCAATTCAGCATCTAGGGAGAGCAAGACCTATGCATCATATCCCTGTAACAAAGGGGGGGCGGGGGGGCGCTGTTTTTGCTAGGGACAATCATTACATCAAGACACACCTTCAAGAATGTCTATACTAAAAGGAACACAAAGAAATACATAAAATCAGAAGAAATGATACCAGTGGCCAATTTTAAGAGGGGAAGCATAGAGGTAGAGGCATTCTGATGCTTATTGCTTTGAGCAGATCAACACAAGCATCAATGCAGCAGACAAACAAGTCAGTCACCAAAAATCTTTGCAAGAACATGACCCATTTCTGAAATGATGGAAACGACTATTATCTCTCACAATAATCTCACGATCATAGATACTGGATAGGAGTTTGGTGACAGAGTGGCAATCGTTACAGACACGAAGATTCTTTATAATGCGAATAGGACTCCCAGGTTCCAAATTAATAAGACCATATGCAATAGCCAATCTCTCGCTATGGTTTTCCAATTCAGCTTCCTTCTCTTTTTCCTCTTCAAGACACAACAGAACTTGACTTGTGTCAGGAACATGTCCTACGGATTTCAGTTTCTCTCTCATTTCAGTCAACTTAGAATATATGTCTTTCGTCCGAGGATGTGATTTTTCACCGACAATAAACTCATGAAGCACACCTCTGTGCTCTATGGAACTGCATCCTGGGTCCTTTTTTACTCCTCTCTTTCTCATCATTTCTCTTACCTGTGAAACTTTCTCCCACTTATCAGCTGCAGCATACATGTTAGAAAGAAGAACATAGCATCCAACAGTGTCTGGAGACACGTCAATCAAATGGCGAGCTGCATAATCACCAACTTCAACATTTCCATGGTTCCGAGCACCACTAAGCAAACTCATCCAAATTACTTTGTTTGGTTTCATGGGCATACTTTCAATGACATTCTTTGCCTCGTCCAGACAACCAGCGCGACATAAAATGTCTACAAAACAACCATAGTGTTCAATTGTGGGTTCAATTTCATAATCATTTATCATCAGATTGAAATAGTAACGACCAAGATCAACCAATCCTGCATGACTACATGCATTCAAGACTCCGATAAAAGTTATACCATGAGGGTGCATTCCATTTTTGCGCATCTCAAGGAATAGCTCAAGAACCTGGTCGGCCATACCATGCATTCCTAAACCAACAATTATAGCAGTCCAATGCCCCAATTTCTTCCTGTCTATAGCTCGAAATACAGCCAGAGCACACTCTATGCTCCCACACTTGGAATACATTTCTATCAATGATGTACCAAGCACACCATCTAATTCAAATCCATGTTTTACCATGAAAGAATGAATCCATCTCCCCTTACTTAGAGTGGCTAATCCTGAAACGGCAGAAAGAGCACTGACTAATGTAGCATGACTAGGCATAATATCTTCTTCCAAAATTTCCTGAAACAACTCCAATGCTTCCATAAACTGTCCATTAAATTCATAACCTGCAATCATCGAATTCCAAGTTATTATATCTCTTGTTGGCATCCGACTAAACAATTGACGTGCCATCTCAAAATCCCCGGATTTCATGTAACCATTAATCATGGCATTCCAAGAAACCAAATTTCTATTTGGCATCCTGTCAAATATCTCCCTAGCCATCTCTACCTTCCCGCATTTTGATAACCCGTCAACTAAAACAGTCCACGAAAAAGAATCTCTCTCCCGCATTTGATCAAACAATTCCATTGCAACTTCTACTTCTCCACATCTCGCATACCCATCAATCAAAGAATTCCAAGTAACCAAATCTCTATCAAGCATTTGATCAAACACTTTCCTAGCCAAACCAATCTCACCGCACTTTGAGTACAAACTAACCAAACTACTCTGCACAAACTTATCCAAACCAAGCCCAATTTTCAACACCAACCCATGAATCTGTTTCCCTTCCCCAATCGCATTTAACCGAGCACAACCCTTTATCACACACGGTACAGTAAAATTATCCGGAACAAGTTCATGAAGCAATTCATAGAACAAAACAATAGCATCATGGGAACGTTGGTTCCCAACATAGCATTTGATGAGAACGTTCCAGGAAACCAAGGTGGGTTCTTCAATTTGATCGAAGACGGAGCGAGCATAGTCAAGATTGTTGATTTTGGGGTCTGCGTAGAGAGATAAGAAACGGGAAGCAATTGCAGGGTGGCTGAAAGTTCCGGTTTTGAGGGATATGGCGTGGTGTTGCTCTGCTTCTCGTTGGGTTTTACAGGTTTGGAGAAGCGAAAAGGGGAGGCTTTGAGGAGAGAGCAATGGTTGGTGGAGAGAGTGAGAAGGCGTGAGTTGAAGCATTGCTATGGCTTTGGTGGATCAGATGATTGACTGAAGGGCTCTGTGTGTGGCTTATTATAGCTGCTACATAATAAAAGCAATTGTTCAGTTTTTATTTTAATTTTTAATCTTTTATTTTTTGCTTTCGTCTACGAATGAAATAACCCTAGTTTACAATTGACCAAAAAAAAAAATAACCCTAGTTTACTCAACGGTTTAACCTTTCTCCCTTCTATTTCAGTATAGCAAAGCTATGGTTCTCCAATGACCACGTTCAGCAGCAACTCGGCGAGTCGACTCACCATCCTCCCCAACTACCAACCAAGCCCCCTCAATCCCAAGGGCTCTGAAAACCCAAGAAAAATCCAAACTTTACCATCTTCTTCGAAAACCCCTCATGACCTTTCCATAGCTCGACATGTTAAAGCCCCTCAAAACCGCATCGCTCCTTCACCTACAAACCCTCCATTCGCTATTGGGTTCCCACCATTTTGTCGAATTCGCATCAAGAACCAAGCTTTTCTCCCAACTCTCTCATCCACCCTTCAATCCTGCCCCAAACTTGGTGTTCCAAATCTGTGACATTCTGTGCGACCCTCAATGGGAAAAGAGCTCAGAGCTCAGCTGGCTGAGCCCTAAGATTAGAACCCATCATGTGTCAGAGATTATTGAGACCCACAAGAATACAGACTCGGCGTTAAGATTCTTCTACTGGGTTTCTAAGAGACCTTCCTACCAGCATGATATGAGCTGCTTTTCATCAATGCTGAATAGGCTTGTGAACGAACGGCTTTTTGCGCCTGCAGACCGTGTGAGGATTTTGATGATTAAAGCTTCTAGGAACGAGGAAGAGCTTAAACGGGTAACTGAATATTTGAATGAGATGAGCCGACTTGGTTTTGAGTTTACATTGTATAGTTTTAATACGCTTTTGATTCAATTGGGTAAGTTTGAGATGTTTAGTATAGCTCAGAATGTTTTTACCCAGGTGCTAAGTAGTGGGATTAAACCGAGTTTGTTGACATTTAATACAATGCTCAATATATTGTGCAAGAAGGGCAAGGTCCAGGAAGCAGAGTTGATTTTGAGCAAGATTTTTCAGTTTGATATGCTCCCGGATGTTTTTACTTATACATCATTGATTCTTGGGCATTGTAGAAATCGTAACTTGGATTTGGCATTTGAGGTTTACGATCAGATGGTGAAGGCAGGTTGTGACCCGAATTCAGTTACGTATTCAACTCTTATCAATGGGCTATGCAATGAGGGGAGGGTGGATGAGGCACTGGATATGCTTGATGAAATGGTAGAGAAAGGGATTGAACCCACATCATATACTTACACTGTCCCAATTGCTTCACTATGTGAGGCCGATCGGCTGGTGGAAGCAATTGGGCTTTTCAGAAGGATGAGAAGCAGGGGTTGCCATCCTACCGTTCATACTTATACAGCTTTGATCAGTGGGTTGTCTCAGACGGGGAAACTCGATGTTGCTATTGGACTCTATCACAAACTTTTGAAGGATGGTTTGGTCCCAAACACAGCTACCTTCAATACATTGATAAATGGATTAAGTGAGACAGGAAGATATGACCTGGCTCAGAAGATTTTTTATTGGGTGGAGAGACATGGGACCTTGGCAAATACCCAAACTCACAATGAAATCATCAAAGTTTTCTGTTTGATGGGTAACATTAATAACGCAATGGCTCTTTTAAGCAAAATGCTTAAAGTGGGGCCCTCTCTAAATGTGATTACATATAACACACTCATCAATGGATACCTCAATGGAGGTCAGTTAAACAATGCTATGAGGTTGTTGGATTTTATGAAAGGGAGTGGATGTGAACCAGATGAATGGACTTATACTGAACTTATTTCTGGGTTTTGCAAGGCGGGTAAGTCTGACTTTGCATCTACTCTTTTCCATGTGATGGTAGAACAAAGAATTAGTCCCAGTCAGGTCACCTACGCTGCTTTGATTGCTGGATACTGTATAGAGGGGAAAGTAGAGGCTGCATTGTCATTATTTGAGCAGATGGAGGAGAAGGGTTGCTGTCCAAGTATTGAAACCTACAATGCCATTATAAATGGTTTGTCCAAAGATAATCAGTTTGTTAAAGCTGAGAAACTATGTAAAAAGATGGAAAAGCAAGGACTGGTTCCAAATGTCATTACCTACACGTCTCTAATTGGTGGCCTCTGTAAAAGTGGCAGGACTGACCTTGCGTTCAAAGTCTTCCATGAAATGGGAGAACAAGGTTGCTTGCCGAACTTGTATACATATAGCTCACTCATGTTTGGGTTATGTCAAGAGGGCAAGGCTGACAATGCTGAGACGTTGCTTGATGAAATGGAGAGGAAAGGATTGGCTCCTGATGTGGTAACATTTACCACACTCATTGATGGTTTTGTTATGCTTGGTAGGCTAGATCATGCATTCTTGCTTCTTAGGCGAATGGTTGATGTGGGTTGCAGGCCCAACTACCGAACATATGCTGTGTTGGTCAAAGGGTTGCAAAAGGAAAGTCAGTTGCAGACGGAGAAGGTTGTGGGGCTCGTGGCCCAACATGAAGCAATGTATAGTTGCAGCTCTGATGAAAGCTATAACTTTGTTGAGGCATTGTGCAATCTCTTAGCTAGGATGTCAGAGAATGGATGTGAACCTACTGTTGATACCTATGGTACTTTAGTGAGAGGCTTGTGTACAGAAGGCAGATATTATGAGGCAGATCAGTTGGTGCGGCATATGAAAGACAAAGGCCTGTGCCCCAATAGAAGGATTTATCTGTCTCTATTCTTTGCTCATTGTACGAATTTAAAAGTGGAATCTGCGCTGGAAATCTTTGGCTTGATGGCAGATAATGGATTTGAGTTTCACTTATCAGCTTATAAGGCACTTATTAGTGCTCTCTGCAGGGTGTGTCGGGTGGAAGAAGCTGAAACTTTATTCAAAAGCATGCTAGAAAAACAATGGAATACTGATGAGATTGTTTGGACTGTGTTAATCGATGGTTTACTGAAGGAAGGGCAATCAGATCTATGCATGAAGCTTCTTCATGTTATTGAATCTCAAAAATGCAGTATCAGTTTCCAGACATATGTTATCTTGGCCAGAGAACTTTCTAAAGTAAACAAGGAGAGGGGGAGTTCTCAAATTGTTAACAGAGCAAGTGATTTAAAGGGTGTATATTGATCATGGTTTCTTTATACACATGGAGAAAAAGGAAATTCGTTAACTGAGTTCCATTAATGAACTAATAAGAAATGATACTTTTTTTTGCCTGAGGTGTATATATTCTTTTGCTGTGACAAATTTGCAGCTTGATCATACAATAAATGGTATGTAGATGGCGCTTTGCCTTCGAACCTTGTTAACATTCGTTTCTTTCTATTACTGTCTTTGATGATTATCAGAATACTTTAGTTCTGTTGTCTTTTGATTAATTTGATCGCAATATTTGTCCAATAGTCACCAAGAAAATTCGTTCAATGTTTACTAAGTTTGTTATCCTATCTACATGGAAATGACAAGTTATTTTCAGAAGATAATTGTCTTCGGTTGGAACTGAAAATCTGGTGTGCATGAAGCAGCAACCTAAGGTAGACGTGTAGGTTTGTTTAGACAAAGTATAAATGAATGATATTTGCCATTTATTTTAACTGCTCTTTTTGTGTGGGTTGATGGTTGGTGCAGGACTGTGTGTACTGTTTGTCAATTGGTTTGGGGATTAAGATGTTTCTGCCTATGCAGGCTTCTTAATTACATGGATTATCTTATCTAGGAAGGCTTCTTAATACAGAAATAGTGATGTGTGCGATCATCCAGGCAGACTTCTTAATTACATGGATTATCTTCTTTATGGTGCTCGTTTGTTTGGTTTTTCATTGTTTGACATGCTTACACAATATTTATTCTGGCATTGTGTTTATAAAATGGAATTGAGAGCTAGACATTCTTGGCATATATACTTGCAGGTGATACAGCTTGGACGTCCCCTAGTGGAAAGCTTCCTCTTTCCTCAGAAAATTTTGACAAGAAGATGTTAAGGTACACCTTGTTTGATACCGATGTTGGTTTATTTCGCTGTTGTTACCTCATACAATTTTGATTCATTGTATTCTTTACACCAAGAGTCATTTATAAAATATACCTCAGTTTTACAATAGCATATGTTATGGTTCATTTAGTAAATTTTGGTTTTATGTTTTAGTTTTAGCTTTGATGGTCAAAATCATCCTTTTTTTTAATCTCTCCCTCGTCTCTTTTTTCCTTCTCTCTGTTATTCTTTTAATAAGAAAAAGAAATAAAGAAACTAAAGGCAAAAAAATCTAACCAAATTCCCATGGGATGGTCTCTTGATTCTGTATTGGCAAGTAGAACTATTTTACTGTGAATTATCAACAAAAAGTAATCTACAGTTGCCACCTGATCTAAATCAACTTAAATAATGTCTGTGATTCAGAATTCCAGGATAAATTATACTTTATAGTTGACATGATGAAATTAATTTAATTAGACATTTTTGGTGTAGGGTTACTCAGGTCCTTCTAAATCGAGCTCAATTTGCACTAGGGCTCTTAGAAAGAACTGCTGGCCAAGATTACTGAACTAGTCCACTTTTTTTAATCTGCCTCTAATTGTTCTAATATGCAAATGCCAGTGTGTGTGGCCACTTTCCGTATGTGGTGTTCAATTTTTTTCATTTTCCCAAAGGATGATAGCACTCTAAATCTTTGTAGGGTTTTTGATTGGGGTCGAGATGAGCTCAGAGTTTGCTTTTTTTGTCACTTTCTTTGTGCTTCGCTGATCTTTGCCTAGTATTTGCTGGGATTCCCACTCCTTAAATAAAGAAGGGTGGAATGAATAAAGGCTTGGTAATGCATGAAGACCCTATTATTTCCTATACACAAGTGATATTGTATGGGTATGAACTATATTGTGGATCAATCTAGAAAGGTAAAAACGCATTCATTATGGTGTGAGTTCTAGTGTTCTCACCTTTCCTCCAAGTCTAAACCTATACAAACCCCCGAGTATGAGAAACCCTTTGAGTGAAAAGTAAATTATTATGTGTATGCAAGAGAGAATTTTGTGGTGAAAATCTCTGGAGGTGAATTTGGAAGACTCTGGCTTCCCGGCAGTCAGTTCTTGTGAGATTGTTCCTTTGTAATCCTTGGTATCTTCCAGTCCTGTCCACACAAAAAATTTCTTGTAATTCCATCATTTTATATAGTAAAGAAGAATTTGTTCCTGTCCTCCTACTATTCAGTGGACAAAAGGCTCAAATGCTAAGGATGTAATTCCATTGTTTTTATGTTTGATGATGTTTGCCCGTTTTGGCCATACAAGGATGGGAAGGTTTGATCTTGAGTTTGCTAATTGTCTTTTGGCCTTGTATTAGGTTACTCTGGTTCTCAAATGGATCATGGTTCAACCCCAGTTTCCAATCCTATCATGGAACCGAAAAATAAATTTCTAAATTTTTTGATTGAGCCTGCAGTGTCTGAAAAATTATAACCAAATGCCACCAATCTGATTATATTCGTCCAATTTGCAATAGATTTTCTATCTCCGAACCTCTCTACTAAAACCCTGCAATTAACTGATCATGCATATTGTAAGTAGTAAACTACTCTGAAAATTAGGTTCCAAGTTGAAATCTTTCTTCCTCTAATAAACGAATAAAAACTTATAATTCATGAAAGGATGAAATTAAAATTAGTTAGTTTAAAGATGTGGTTGAAGCTATAGATAAATGGATCAAAAAACTCTGTTTTTTTGGGGTAAATAATGAATAGGACTAACAACAAAAGACACCCTTCAGGTTTGGGGTGATTCTTAATATGGACCCCAGGGTATTAATTTAATAAATTTATACCCTTACATTTGCAACATCGTCTAATTTCATCCTTCCCTTAAGTTGACCGTGTAGTTAATTGTTAAATGCTGATGTATCTACTGTGTGACCCACCTACTAGTTCACCGCCTCCATTGCCATTCTCCTGTTCACCCCTTCCATTGCCACACCTTCTGCTATTTCCCATCACAGCCATATCGGCCATCCTAAACTCAAGTGCTCAGAAAACGCAGTTCCCCATTTGGGTCCTTCAAGCTTTCACAATGTTGAAACCTCCAACTCCTTTCTCATTTTCCCCAATTTCCCATTTGGGTATTGCTTGAATCCAATTTCCTCAACTGGGTTCAAGTAGTTGGGTGCTTTTGAGGCTGTTGAGGTCGAATTTGATGATGCAACTGGAAAAACCCAAATGGGAAAAACCATACATCACATGAAGGCTTTGATTGAAAGCTTGAAGAAGGCATGAGGAGAGGAAAGGAGCAACCAGCCATCATCATCATCCAAATGGGACAACCCCAATCAAGTAAACTTGTTGTACCACCACTTGAAGTATTTGGGTAAACAGTGTTAAGAAAAAGAGGGATGGGGGTTGGGGTCAAATCTGAAATGAATGGATGAGAAACAAACACTTAATTCCCGCAATCTCTCAGCCCTCAAAAACCCATGGCACCCAAATCCTTCAACCCCAAAATCCAAATGTACACCTCCCCCCGACCTGTCATCCCCTTCCCCACATACCCCAACATATCCCTCACCTCATTCCTCTTCTAATCCTCCACCTCTTTCCCCAACAACCTTGCCCTCGCCGACGCCAACACCGCCGAAACCCTAACCTTCCTCCCACTCAAATCCCTAGTCTCCAAGCTGGCTCACGCCTTGCTCAACCTCAACATCAAGAAAAATGACGATGTCCTCATCTTCACCCCCAACTCCATCCACTTCCCCGTCTGCTTCTTCTCAATCGTCGCAATCAGTGCCACTGCCACCAGTTGCAATCCTCAATACACCGTCCTCGAACTCTGTCCTAAGATCAAGGGCTTCAATCTCTCAACCATACTATTAGGATCTTCGATTGGGGCCAGGGTTTTAAAAGTTTTTTTATTTATTTTAAATTTATGTTATTTTATCATTTTATATATAAAAAAAAACTTAGAAACTGGTTGGTTAGTAGGTGGGTCCCACAATAGACACGTCAGTATTTAACAATTGACCACATGGTCAACTTAATTGAAGGATGAAATTGGATGATGTTGCAAACGTAAAGGTGTAAATTGATAAAATTGATACCCTGTGGTCCATATTGAGAACCACCCCAAACTTGAAGGGTGTCTTTTGTCGTTAGCCCTAATGAATATACTGAACTAGGGTTTGAGAAATTCCCATATCAAGAAGAAACTAAAGAGAAACCTATATGAACCACAAGATGTGGTGTGGTTGGCAAACTGTCACCTCTAGTTGGCGAGTTATCTAGTGCCTTACTGGCAGGGATTCGAAACTAGTTGGAAGCACTTTGTGGTTAGGGCAAGCTGAATCCCGAGCGGGGATTAATCCCACCCTTTGGGTGTGGGGACACCTCGTGATATTTACCCCAAAAAAAAAAAAAAAGAAACCTATCTGTAACTAAGAGATATGAGTTTCCATACTTTTTTTTTTTTTTGTCTGAACCATGAGGTGATCCTGGATGGGCCCCAACTATGGGGGGCACCTTTAAGCCTTAACCATAACCCAGACTAATCCCCACTCACACCGGGTCGGCCCGTAAGGGGTAAAGTGTTGGCCAAAGTAGTGACTCCGTACGAGAGCAGGGATCGAACCCCTGACCTCTCTTAAGGAATGAGAGAGTTTCCATACATTTCAGTAAATATAACAAAATAGTTTTAAACTTTTGAAGATTCTAGTTTCATAAGACATATTGATATACTTGTCTAATGGTATTATTTTCTCTCAAAAAAAAAAATCCAATAATAAATAAATGATATTCTCCTACTACTGGTTTTTGGGTTCAAGTGCTTGGTTTTCAAGGAAGAAAACAAAGAAGGGCCATCCACTACCAGAAAGGTTTTTGCTTTTGTTGATTGATTCTTGACAGAATCTCTGGGTTGCTTGGACCCCCACATGGCCTCCATTATATGACTTGATCTTTGTCACGCATGAACAATTATTGGCTCTTTGGTCAGTGTACCATTTTGTAGTTATACTCAATCATTTCATACAAAAACCATTATCATTTCAACTGTGCAAGCATCTCTCAACTTTGTTATTTTCTTTTCTTTTCTTGTTGCTGCAAAACCATTCTGAGTTTTATAAAAAGAATTAATTTTATAAATTTTATAAAAAAATACCCTTGTGAATTTATAATAGTAGAAGCCTGATTCAACTGGTTTGATCACTTTCCAACAACAACAAAAAAATAAAAAAAAATCAAGGCCTAGCTCAGCACCAACGTTGCCCTTTTTCTCTGCTGCCATAGGCCAACTACCAATTTCAAACAAAACAACTCCAAATCTGAGTATAAATGCTAAAAGGGCTCTGTTGTATTCTACATATATTCTCTGTTTCCTTCCTCATTTCATGCAAACCTATCCTATCTCGTAGACCCGGAAAACAAGCAACAATAAGAATGGTAGGTCTCAGTTTTGGCGTGTAAATTGACCACAAAACTTAAAGATGTAAAAGACAAACAGAAATGTAGCCTCTGGTTTAGAGAGCTTTTATTATATTTCTAATGCCAGCCCTTCTTCAGCTGCATATACAAAGTGCATGAAAAATGCACGGCAAGGAAGGATGCCTTTGTATTTTTTTTCCATGTGCAAAGGGTCCCCATAAAAAACATCAGTACTTAAAATATATTCCTTCTGATCTTTGTCTTTTCTTTGCATCCCCATCTTCAATTCATGAACTTCATTTTCAGAAGGCCAAGACTTTGAAGGCCAGGTTTCGTAGCAGGTACAAAAAAGAATCAATATTCTCCCAAAGGCCACCTAAAGATAAATCAGAGTCATCGATGCCAACAGTGTCTTAAAAGACAACAAGACACAAAGCATGACCTAACATTTGATGCTTCCAAACTCCATTCCAACTGCTACTTCCATTTTCATTTTGGACTGTTTTTCTTGCACTCTTGCTTTTTTAAAAAGTGCTTTTGCCTACCCATCCACCAACCCAGCCTTCTCTAGACTAGCCTTTAAATCTTTCCCTTTGGATTTTTGTTGCACAGCAGCCGATTCTTATTTATATTACATCATCCGAAATAAACTACAAAAACCCAATTTGCACATTTTAATGCCAAACAGAACACAATCCTCTGCTATATAAACACATCCAAAGCATTTTGCCCCTTCAGCACCAATTATAGCAAAAAACAACAAAAACACCACCAACCCTTCAAGGCTTCAAATTTCATCGAACTCTGGTTTTCAATGGGTAGGGAAAGTTCTGATCCCACTATGGTTAGTTCCTCCATTGCTCTCTTACAAGAGAGGTTCAGACAGTTGCAGAAAGTGAAGGAGAGGAGGGAGGAGCAGCAGCTTCTGAAGATGTTATCTGAGACTGATCATCATCATCGTAGTGTTGGCTCAATAAGGCATTTTGAGCCTGCAAAATTCTCTATCCAATCTGATACGGCCAGGCCAAGCTCTCCTGCAGATCACTCACTCTCTCTGGGGCTTAATTTGCAGACTAGACAAGTTGATCATTGTGCCATGAAGACACAGCCTTCCACAATCTCATGGCCCAACAATACAACAGCTGCCTCAGCAGCAAGTGCTTCAAAAAGTTTTGACAATTCAGACCTTGACACCTCTCTTCATCTGTAGACAAATCCTGGGTTCACTTTCTTTGTGGCTTCTCCATGTTTCCCTTTTTTTTTTTTTTGTATGTGATATTAGAAGAGTATGTAACTAATATAACTAATGTTTATTCATCTGAAATAATGAGATAAATAAAAGAAGAAATGGAGCAGCAATCTGCTAGCTGCTCTTCTCTTCAATTTTTGGCCCCTTTGTTGGTTTTGCTTACAACATTAACAAATCATGGGCACTATAGAGAGATTCACAATCAAGAAAAATGGATTGGGAGGTGATGGGTTTCTTTTGTTCTGTTGAAAGAATAATAAACACAACTTCTGAAGGTTCATATCAACATATATATGTTCTTTTCTTATATTGATTTTGAGTTTGTGAAGACTGGTGATGAACAAAAAAGTCAGCAAGGCCTGCTAGATTCCTCATAAACTTCCCATGCAGATGTGCTCAGTTAGAAATTCCTAACGCCACTGATTGTTTATGCTTTCAATGGATTACTTTCGGAGCAAATACTTGGAACCAGATATTATTATTAGAGTTCTAGTTCTTGCTAGTATATTTTTAATGAACATTTCCTACAATAAGCAATATT